GGGACGCCGCCAGCACCCGACCGCCGCGGCCTGACAGTCGACTTTGGACCATCGACCGATCGGTCCGCCACCGGAAAAACCATCAGGATTTCTAATCACGAGAGATCACTATCTCCTCTCTCTCTCTTTTTCGTCCTTGCACCATTTTTTTTCTTTTTTTCACGATTCTAGTAGAGATTTGGAGATTTGAATTAGCGTTTGCTGGTTCGACACGTCGATCGAGACGGTAGATTTACGCGTTGCTCTTGGGGAGCCTCGAGAAAATTTTCGGTATTCTAAGGGGAATATATTTGTGGAATTAAGAATAAAATATAGGTGTTTGTTAGGTAAACGGACAAACGACTGTAATATACGTTACGCGCTTCTCGACTTTGCAATGAACACTACTATTCATCCCTCGCTCGTCATACTTTATAGCCAGCCCCTTCGTGGGCCTCTCGTCGCTTTTCCCGTTGGGCCTGAATTTCGTCCCTTGTTGCTCACTTTCTCTTTTACTCCTGACACTGTTTTCTTAAAACTACCATACTACGTATTATACTTTTTTTTTTAATCCAATATAACGAATATAAATTATTCTAAATATTCGAGACACTCTGCTCACTGACGACTACCATGAGGAAGCAGTCACAGGTGACTAAGTGTCAGAGGTGTCACTATCTCCGTTCTTACGGATAGTTCGAACGAAGGTTCAACCCTTTGTCGAGTCGGAGTCGACGTAAGAATTTTTACCTTCAGATATACAATGATAAGTGATAAATTATAGTCTGGAAACTTCATATTTCACAACTAATATTACGCTAAAACATCAGAGAGTGACCAAACGAGTGTGTACTAACTAGACTATTTGAACCTGAAAGGGTTAAGGATCGAGGAATCAGGGATCGATCAAGATACCTAGCTCGCAAGTCTCACAAGTCAGATAATCTAAACGGTAATCGGCAGAGCTTGCGTCTTTTGTTCGTCGGATCGAACGGGCTAGTTATGCGGCCGAATCTGGGATTAGATCTGACCAATTAGACCATCCGGGTCACCGGAGGGTGCGTTGCCGCTAGGCCTACCGCGTTCCAATTGGACTCCGCGCTAATTGATTGTTTATGCTGTACCATGGACCGTGACGTTCCCATAGTGAGAGATTCAATGTTCCCGAAACGATGCTCCGTCCTCTCTCTCTCCAATTAACCTGTCCACTCGCGTATTAACACGGATTGAATAATACTCAAGCTAAGTCCCAAATATTCCGAGAAGATTGAACGAGCTTCAGCTCGTTCAACTAGCTCAGCCAGAATTTTGGTCCAGAGATTTAACCGAGTAATCTGGCGAGCAGCTGCTACAGCTTAATATTCGAAATAGCCGTCGCCCACGGCTATCCCCGTGCCACTTAATTGTTCACGTTGCTTCTGTAGATCGTAAGGTTCATGCGTTGCTTTCAACCGCGATAACAAACTCCCTCGAGAGATACGAAGAGAGAGAGAGAGAGAGAGAGGAGACGAGAGGATTCCACTACGTCGCCTGTGGATGGCTGAGGGAAAACGCGAAGCATAGGGGGAGGCGTGAGGGGGTTCCGAAGCCGCGTCCACTAAAGCCGGCGTCCATTTGCCGGGATCGTAAATTAGGCGACCACAACTTGATAGTCGCCTTTAGAACATCGAGCCACCGGATCGGGAATATATTATGTTGCTCCCTGGCTCGCTCGGTTGTTACCGGCCCCAGGGTATATTCAGGGACGCGCAAACCACCACAGTGAGACTTTGAGGAGGCTCTGATCGTCGACGACACGAAGACGATCACCAGGCTGATAATCACCGGGACATAGGCGTCGTTGCGTTAATCGATTGATCGCTCCTGTCGGGTAATTGCTCCTGCCCGATTCGTCAACGTTTTCACGGCTGATTTCACAGCTTTCAAACTCTCGCAGAATGTGCATCGAAGGGCAGGAAATTTTTTCTTCTTTCAAACTGTTGCGCGTGAATTAGCCCTCGACGTTTGACTCGACAGCGATGTATTACGTTTGGTACAGGAAATACGCCTATCTCACGCATCAAACGTGAATAAACAAGAAAAATATACAGTTGAAAGTATACACGTTTATACAGAATTGCTTCGTGAAACCCGTGTACGATAGAAATTTTGCTA